AACAGACAGGAATAAGAGCCAGTGGGTATGAGTCACAGGAATGCAAAATAACAAAATGTAAGGAACAAATATATAGAATCTAGGCTCTTTTAAAGAACATACAGAAATTGAGGGAGAACAGGAAAGATAGGTGTTTATAGCAAAAATCCTTCCTCTGTGTACCAATCTGTCCCCTAACAATGTATGATGCAGCAAATGTCCTCTTAAGATGGATCTTTAAGTTGTCAGGCTTACCAGGCCATGTTGTGACCTGCTACTACTTCCTAGTTATAGTGCCTTTTGAAATTCCTTACCTGTAAAATGCAGAGAATAATACCTGCCTCCTTTACAAAGTTGTTATAAAAACAAATGAGTTACTATGTGTGAAAGTGCTCTTTAAACTAGAAAATACTATATAAATGTAAATATGATTATTATTACTGCAATTTGGAAATAGTAAGCCCAAATAATCACTAGGCCAGACTTTTATCAGCCTAATTGTGTCCATAGCTACGTATATTAATAATAAAAATATTATTTCTTCTGATTTCCCTACATAAATTGTTATCTACCTTCAGAAAATAGGCAAACGACTTTCCAAGATTGACCTATCAATAATTACATTTCTTAATCAGCAGGCATCTCATTTCCTCTGTCTTAGAAGGCCACACTTGTCAATGAAGACATGGAACTCACTTGTTCACTCTTCTAAATATTATTGAGTGTCCATGTGCCAGGCACTGTGCTTAGTAATTGAGATTCGGTGTTCCAAAGCAAGGTGACAAAACAGTGTGAGGTGATAGGAGTGGCCTCTGAGGTGGGAAGTCATAAACAGCCCTGATTAAAAGCAGACCACCAGTATACCCCATTCTATAAATCACTGGTATCTAAAATATCTCCCTCCCACCAAGGTTAATCTGCATTTGCTACTAGAAGAGAGGTCAATGTAGTTGAGCTCAGCTGCCTCTTTTTAGCTATCTAGAAACCACCATGGTTTGAAACCATACCAAGAGAGAAGCTCTCTATTAGCCTCTGCTGTCTTGGGGATCTGAATGATTTTACTGCCACCTAAACTTGCTAAGGAGGGTGAGGGGTATTTATCCTACCCCAAGTTCTAATGTAAGATGACAGAATGTGGATCATTTTGTTCTTCTGTATCTGCTGTCTGAGAAATGGGTCTATTAATACCCACTCTGCAGAGGTTTTCTGACAATGAAATAAAATGATACATGATCAGGCAGATAGTTGAAGTTCAATAAATGGTAGTTGTTCTGGATTGAATTATGTCCCCCCTAAAATAATATGTTGTAAATACTAACCTCTATACCTATGGTTATAATCCCATTTGAGAAGGGGTTGTCTTCATTATCTTAATGAGGCAGGATTAGTGTAGGGTGTATCTTGAGTGATCTCTTTTGAGATATAAAGGAGATTAAACAGGCAAGCGAAAGAAGAGATGAGGAAAGAGAAATGCCAAGCCACATAAAGATCACCCAGGAGCAGAAGCTCAGAAGAGACAAGGACATTCCTCTAGTGTAGACAGAGAGAGAAAGACTTCCCCTAGAGCTAGCACCCTGAATTCAGACTTCCAGCCTCCTAAACTATGGGAAAATAAACTTCTGTTTGTTAAAGCCATTCACTTGTATTTCTGTTATAGCAGCACTAGATAACTAAGACAGTAGTGATGATGGTAATGATGATGATCATCCTACAAGACAGAGGTGAGTGAAACTGACCTCATTCTATCTGAGCTTGGAATCATCTAGTTTTATCTGAGTCTCTCCACTACCAAAAACCCACAGAGCCTGAGTCCATAAAGGGATATTCCAGGATTTGTGAAGCAACATTGGTTCCTACAGAGCTCAGGTTGATTGGGTAACCTCTTGATGTTCCTACATTACTTATTCCTACCTCTTTTGTGAGGTGTAGGAATACTTTTTGAAACAGTAGCAAGAAAAAAAAGTTTCTAATAAAATAATGAGCCTTCCTTATTTTGAGCTTTCCTTTTCCCCTTTCCTTTGATGCTTGCCACCTCCTTCCCATTATGACACTGTGTCCACCATTGCAAAGGCCAATGTCCTCAATTTGTGCCCAGCTGGAAAGAGAACATTGAGCTGAAGAGTGCAAAGAAGCAAAGAAATCACACTGAGATGGTATTTTCCTTTATAAGACATTTCAACAATCATAACAGAGAGAATGTCTTATGAGCTGTCCATCAGTTTTAAATGTGGAAAATGTTCCCTGGCTTTGGAGCAGTCATTATGCCCTTATATATTAGATGTCAGTAACAAAGCACATAAGAGGTTTGTCCTATATAAATAACATATTTAACATGAGAAGAGAAAAGAAAAGAGAGAAAAATGACTGTTTCCCAAGTCTTAATATGTACCAAGAGTCCTGCATATTTGATAGGAGAGTTACAGTCTTGATCTCAGATGCACTACTCTTAAACCTCCTCCAGTTCATTCTCTTGTTTCATGTCTTGCTATTTTTATATGATTTTTATTCCTTCTTTTATATCTTTAATCATTTTAAACATATTTATTTTACAGTCTCTTCCAGATTGTTCTATCACCTGAAGTTCTCAGAGGTCTATATCTGCTATTTGTTTTGTCCACTGACTCTCACTCATGGTTCTTAGTTTTGTGATGTGTGGGCATATCCTCAGAAGAGCTTTATCTGTAAGAATCCTAGATGACCTACATGAGGGTGTGGTCTATATGAGAGTACTTTTGGGTTTGTTCTTGCCAAGTGCCACAGGGATATTATTGGCCTAAAACAAGTTTGATTTTAACTTGGTAGATTGTAAATATAAATCCAAAAACACTGTAAAACATAGTCATAGTCACAGATTCTCAGCAGAGATGTTTTTCTACCATAAGCCATCAAAAGACAGGCATCCTTGGGACAGCAGATGGATTTTTTTCCCTAAATCATCCTTTTAAAGGTCTCAGTTTTGTGTGGGGGAGGTCTCAGTTCCAACTTTCTAACTTTTATGGGAGCTTGTCCCCCTGTGGGTGCTAAACTGTAACTCCAGTCACTGAGACTGGACAGTGTTCCTCAAGGCAGATGCAAGTCCCATGGCTTACTGCTCTCATTTCAGTTCCCTCTTTATACCTGGAACTTAGGGAGTTTATTTTCTTACAGGCTTAGCCATTAATTTAAAAGAAGTTTATGTTCTATCCAGAATATCTTAATTTTTTGGTGGAAGGGTTCTTGGGTTATCTGGTCCACTATACGGCTGGAAATGGAATTATCAATTCATTCTTCATGTTACAGCCAGAAAGACCTTTTCAAAACCCAAGTTTAATTTCATTACCAATCTTGCTTAAAACACTTGCATAACTCCCCAGTGATCTTAGGATGAAGACCCAAAGCTATGGCCTACAAGGTCCTGCATAGACTGGCCTTTACCTACTTCTCCAGCCTCATGTTGCACCATATTCCTTCTCATTCTCTATGTTCTATTCACACCGGGCTTCTTCTGGTTTCTAGAATGTACCTTACTCCTTCTTATGATAGCAACTTTGAACATTCTGTTCCCTGTTCCTAGAACATCCGTAGGTTCCCCCAGTTCACTCCTATTCACCCTTCAGATTTCAGCTTCATTATACAGTGACTGTTGTCTAGAGCAGTTTTCTCTGGCTTATGTTGCTATTGTCTCATATACCTCTCCTTTACTGTACTTGTCATAATTATGCTTTTACATTTATTTTTGTAATTATTATTTTAATATCTCTCTCACCCACTGGACTGTAAGCTCTATGAAAGCAGGGGCCATGTCTATGTTTATTCACATTTTTATTAGTCAATAAAAGTAACCCTAGCTACTACACTAACATTGACACATACAACCCTAAAATCTTAGTATTTTAGGTTTATAGTTTACCACAATAAAAATTCATTCCTCATCTCATAGTCCAACTGGATATCCAGAGACCCAGATTACACCACCATCTTCAACATGTTTCTATGAAAGACACAGTGGAAGGGAAAGAGAATGAAGGATCATGTAGGAATTTTGGAACCAGGACAGACATGCATCACTTCTACCCACATTCTATTTCTGCCTAGATTTCATGGAGGAGATAGAGTGCTAGTGGGTCTTTAAATAATGGTATGGAAAGAAATTGGAAAGGTAATTAAGAAATAAATTTGTGGAGACATGGAATGGATGGGGGACAGAGTAGAAGAAAGGATGAAGAAAGGTTAGTATGAGTATGGTTGACAGTAACAAAGGAAGAAATCAATGGAGAAAATGGAGAATTGAAAGGACTAACACCTAACCTAGCTAGTGTCATCCAAACACTGTCTGCTGACTTGCAAACTCCATCATTTTCTGTTTTGATATATTGTAGCCTTACACCTAGAAATGAGGGTGTCTCTTTAGCGAAATAGCACCTTTTCCCCTCCCATCTTGATCGTTACTCGTTAAAATGAATAAAATGTACACAGGAAGTTGTGTATTTTGGTTAAAATGAATAAAATGTGCACAGGAAGTTGTGTATTTTGATTGGCCAGAAGTTGATACTACAGAAAGCACTTTGCTACTGACCATGTGGAATGGTAAAACACACTACTTCCAGCCCCATCTGTCAGGCCAGGATTTCGCCCTAGCCCTTCACCAATCAATACATAGAACTGCCTGGTGCCACTGGCAGGGAGCTGTGTTAAAAAAATGACTAAAGTAGGACAGCCAAAATCTTTATATTCCTTATGCTGTTCTCTGCAGCTTTCTTCTCAGGGTTGGGGACCACCCTGATAGCTGCAAATGGGCAGCATGAGGGTGCCACCCTCCCCTGCCCCGGGAAGGGGCCAGGGCTACAAAAAGTAGCCAACCCTATAATACAGGCTTCCGAAATGCACTCTTAGAGTTAGTGACAGGGGAGCCGCTCCACCTCTGGGGCTACAGCAGTGCAGTGAGCTTTAGTGGATCAATACTTTAGTCTTGTCATGCTAATTGCTCATTGGTTGACATTCATGATCCTTCCTTGCTCCCTCCCTATGTAAACTCTTTCCAGCTGGAACAGCGAGATGCAAAAATCCCGAGCCTTCAAAGCCAGCTCCTGCAGAAGAGAGAGGGTCTGGCAGCTGAGGTATGGTGCTCCCCCATTTTCTTGCCCCCCTTAAAAAAGCTTCATGTGTGTCTGCGTGTGGTGATGTGATAGGGAGATGTGTGAAGAAATGGCTGGGCAAACTCTCCTGCAACATGTAAATGGTAATACCATTTAAGAACAAAACAATATCTCCTCCCCCTTTAATGCCCCCCCCCACACACACACATATACACACACAACAGAAAAACACCCACTCCTGTGAGTTTGGTTGCAACCCTTCTAGTTTGGTGAATCTGTCACCCTCCACCGGTTCAAAATGAACATGTACCTACACTGTCTTGTTTGCTCCAGATTAGGGCATGTCAGACTGAGCTAGCTGCTGTGTGTGTATGTGTGTGTGCATGTGTGTGTGTGTGAGGTCACGCCTACCATATTGGCTTCCTGTCCCTGGAACATCAGCTTTTCTAGCTGGCTGAGTCTGTCCCCCACAACCACAGTTGCCACTGAGACCACCCCAACTACTACCCCGTACGCTTCAGGCCTGTGCTAGGCACGATTTTGTTAAGCCGTTTAGTATTAATTGATTTTTTTTCCCATTTTTTTCTTTCTTTCCCTGGGCGGGTCAATAGCTGGATGCTTTAGGAGCAGAGGATCTATCAACTGCAGACCAAGCATAGGGAGACGCAGGCAGACCTGGAATAGAAACCCAGCCAGCTCCAGCCGCTCCGACAGTACTTGGTGGCCGGACAGTCAGCAGCAGGCAGCATGCCATGGGCCGTGAGGCAGGGAATCGACTCTGACCCAATCCTTGAGGTCTGGTAAGTTTCCTCACTTTTGGAAAGTGAGGCAAATGATAACCAGGTCTTTCTTTCCTTACTCAAAATAGTTGGCAGCATTTTGGCTAATTTCAGTTAATGAGCTAAAGATCAAAACTGGGATGTGCCCAGCAGATCTAGGAGGATGGAAGGGTTGGAGGAGGTATGGGGGTTTGTGGGATAGATGGGGGCTAACCAAACTCCCGTCCTAAGGTGAGCCACTGCAGCCAAGCAGATGTCCTGGGCATCGATCCCTGCATCCTGTTATTGATTTCCTCTTGGGGCCAAGAATGGGGTGGACCTAAGGAGGAAAAGAGGAGTACTGACACCCTCCCAGAGGGCCAGGCAGCCCTAATCGGTGATAACAGTGTTAAGTGGTCAGCCTGGAGATGAGGTTTGCTCAGATCTATTGATCTACACTCCCCTGGGATATAAATCCTTCTGAATTTGCTTCCGTGGATATAAATATTTATAATTAAAATAGCCTAGGAGCCTCTTACAGGCATAGGGAGAGTGGCCCATCCTAGGGCAAGGCTTAATATCAGTCTCTTCCATCTTCCTACCTCTTCCTCTCTTCTTCCTCTCTTGTATTTGTTTATACATCTCTGTTCTCTGTTTTGAACCCCGTTTTGTTCACCCTCTGAGCGATAGTCAGAGTATCTCACACTACCAGAAGCCAGAAAAAATCCATTTTTTCTGAGTGCAGACTCCAGCTAGGAGGGAGTGCCTCTCCCCCCAGTGAAGGTCACACAGTTTCATGGGCACTCAGGAGCTGGACTTGGAAAAGAATAGGCTATTGTGTGTGTGTGGAAAGACTTCTTCAGTTGTTGCTTTGTTCTTGCTTTTATTGAGGCATCAGTTTCGATCCAGTAAAAAAAACAGGCTTTGTAGAGTAAATGTGTTAACCAATGCTGAGACCCTGCGTTGCCTGGCTTGCTGTGTTAAATCTAGGAGAACAATTGAGGAGCACCACTCTCCTGTCTTTCAGCACCTCATAAACCTAAGCATCTGTCTGCTCACATGAAGTGGACAGAGCATCCCTTACCCAAGTGAATAGAGAAACAAAGGATGCTGAGGACCCATAGAGGCAGAATCCTTGAAGCCAGATGACAAGACCAGGACCATTGACCAAAGCTTTGTTCACTGCCAAGGACAACCTTATAAAGGACTGGATCTATTCAGCTTTAATTTTTAGAAATTTGTGGTCAACTTAGGTTGATAGGGAGATTGGTCTTTGAAATCATCCACTGTGATGAGAAATTGTGCTCCCTAAATCCATCATCTGCTTTGGTATCCAGGATATAATCTTTTTTTCCATTTTGGAACTTGCAACTATTTTCATCAGATGCCTGCCTTACCTCAGTGCTTATACCTTGAACTGTGTGTCTGCCCTCAGCAATTTTTATTAATTTGTCATTTATGCCTACAAAATTGCTTAAGGACTTCTGGATCTTATACTTGTCAAGGATGTGTAGTAGTGAGTGTGTAGGCACTGTATGGGGTGTGGGGAGAATTTATTGGGTTTTGCTTCTCCTGGTTTTAAATGTTTGTTCACTCCAGTCCATATGTGTAAGTTAATAAATGTATGTCTGTGTATCATTGTGCAAGTGTCTGTACTTGGGAAGCAATGAACACAAGCGGGTTGGAGTAGGGCTCCTCATCTCTCTACCACTTGCATTAACTGTGTCCTTCCCAGATGCATACTAAGCTTTGTTTTTTCATTCAGAGCCAGTAGTTTCAGGGCTGAAATCTAGCTCATTTGTTCTGTTTTAGCAAGTGATTGAGGGTTAGGGACTATTCCAATTGGCAGTCAAGGGTCAGTATTTTGGACTCCATTTCATTAGATAATTTATAGAGAATAAAAGTCTAACAGGTATAATCACGGTAGCCTTGGCTTAAGAATGTTTCTAGGCATGCTAGAGCTTGAAAAACACTTCAGGCTAAAAATGGAAGACTGTTCTGGTTAGTAACCTGTATGCTTCTGTGGCAATGGAGAGAATTAGAATGCAGTTCTCTTTGTTTGATGTATATGTCGACACCCAGAATGTGAAAGGTGTATTTTACTGTAGAAATAAACTTTCAGCACTGACCTAGAGAATGGAAGACGCAGTTTGGTACTTAAGTCCTGCTCTGCCAGGTCATAATGAAAAGCATAATTAATAAGAGTGTTTTTTTTTTTTTTTTCAAAAAAAAAAAATCCTGAGATTGGTGTTTTTCTCCAATTGTTTGCAATATTTGTCAACATTTTCTTGCATGCTACCTCTGAAGAACAAGCTTATTGAGAGAAAGTGATTTAAATTTTAGAATTGAATATACTGCACTAATTAAATGCATGTGCCCTTGCGATCTGAGTGCCACTAAATCTAAATAGCACGTACATAAATTCATTGCTGTCTGCTACTGTTCCTATAGGTCATATTTGAAAGCTTGTTGCTAGCCATAGGGAAATGATTTTATTATGGAATCATCTAGTGGCTTAGGAAAACAAGCTTGATAGTTTTTATTCTTGTCAAAATTTAACTCCCATGTTATAGATGTATTTATATGCTACATTTGCATTTTATATTGTATACATATAGATAATATTTTTCAATTCTGAAAGGTTTTGCATTGAAAATATTTTATAATGCAAGGGTAGAACTATTTCACTATTATTCTATATTCACAACACAAAATATAATGATACTGATATTTCACTGTTATTTCTATGCCAATAATATACGCATCATGTTTCAAACTTATCTAAGCATCTTAATGTACTCATTTGATCCTTAGAGCAAACTTATAAGTTAGAGCAAGAATCATTATCTCTCCATTTTACCAATAATAAAATATTCACAAGATGACACAGATATTATTAACATCAGTCTTGGGGCTATAACCTAAGGCTATGCACTCCTGGTCAAGTGCCCTTTCCTCAGCTACCACTGCCTCCATTAATGTTGGATAACATTTTAGCATATTCTCTATTTCCAGCACCTATCACAACCATTGAAATTCATGTAAGGCAAATTTTGGTTGATCTTAGATGATCATTAGCATTCTACCCATGCAAGAAAGTACCAAATAAGTATTTCAGGCAACTTTCTTTGGCCTTTATCACACCACAGTCAACTGGAGAGTCTGGTGCCATGACAGACACTTTTTGTTAGTCTCAGAAATTCTGGGAGCTATTAATATGCTTAATAAGTGTACTCCTCAGGAACATGTACCCATGAAAACATTCCACAAGGCTGTTGTATGCATATTTAATCTGCGTATTGATCAATATTTGCTTTATAAAAAATCGTATAATTTGAAGCATCATGTAGTATTTGAAGTCAAGCATAAGACTTTCCTCTTCCTACTGGAAAAACCTTGAGAGTATGGCCCCCAGGCACCCTTTTAGCTCAGTGGTGACGTTACCTCCAAGGTTCACTGTTCAGCCTGGGAGTGGACAGCCCCGTAAAA